GTGCCGACTGCGAGCCGCCAGGTGTGCGACTAGCAGGCGCAAAAAAACCGCCTTCAGACCGCCGACGCAGTGTACGGCCCGAGAGATGCGCGCAAGCATATCCTCGGACCGAGTTATCCGAATATTATCGAATCGGCCACCTCACACGCGCATCGGTACCAAATTATCTGGCACGCTTGTACCTGGTCAAAACCACACGTTTATCGGTTGCACAGGGCAAAAGAGGCGAACGGAATTGCCATGGCGTCAAGAGGGGAAGTCATACGGCTTTCAGCTGCTCAAGCATACGTTGAATCTCCACGTAGACTCAGAATAGAGGCAGCAGTTAAGGGGTCAACAATGCAATTAAATATGTTATCAATATATTTCGGTTTCGTAATCATCCGTGCCCATTCATAAAGCTTTCATAAGCTCCATTTGTCACAGTGCCTATCTATACCAAAGCGCTTGGGTCAGCAGCCGGGGCTACAGCCATGCGTGCCAATATGGCCTCATCGGATGGCAAATCCAAATTCATTCCTCTTTCTTTGAGCTCGTTAAAAAAAGTGGCCCCATCAAAGTACTTGCAGTCGTCGTCAAAGATGATTTGATAGAATCTGTAAGGTGGAGGGATGTCAGCAAACGGTGAGTGGACAATGTGATTCAATAAGGATTTTATTTACGCAATAGAATAGCGCTCGTCATCCCTCAGCCGCATCTTCGATAGCTGCTTATCCACACACGCCCAGATTGATTGGCTGCCTTTGCCGCCTTTCAGTACAATCCTGGCGGCTTCGCGACGCTGACATTCACGATCATCGGGGAGAACAGTAGCGTGGGTGAGCCACCCACACTATTATTGATGTGAGTCCTAAGTTGCTTACCAGGTACGCTATCCGTGCCCGTGTCAATAAGTCGGTTGCTGCCCAGACAGTGTCCATGTGACACTTCACACCCACCGTGCCACAGCGTTGAGCGACCTACGACGTAAATATGTTCAGCGCGGAAACCAAACAGGAGATTCAAAATGAAGCAAGACTTACCTGCTGGACCATCGACTTGATATGGGGAACCGGTTCATCTACTTCCTCGCCCATCTTAGGATCATGAATGCCTGTTAACAACTGTGTATATACGTGAATTCCCTGTCTTACCATTGCTATATTGAGAAAGGTAACTCACCACGATGTGGACCTTTTCTCTGGCGTGCTTCCCGCAATCTTTGATCGCCGAGTGGTACCTCTTGGCTGCAGAAGCTTCCTCCACTCCTTGATGGACAGGAGGAAGGTTTCTCGCAATGAAGGCAGCGCTTTCCTTGGCTATCGTGAGCTACGTAGTGAGAAGTAGCAAGATCGGTCAGAATGAAATGAAGGAGTGACATTGTCTCAAACATTGAAATTATCCCAAGCGTACTTTCATGACGTTGAACAAGGAATGCGGTAGTATGCCCTCGCGCTTGTTCTTCAATGCGGTATACGAAAACAACTGCGGAGAATTCATAAGGCTCAAGGCGAGCGGGTTCATCACGTCCTGGTGCATCAAAACGGGTTAGCGTTCATACGAGATGCGGCGAATAGAAAGTAGAACGTACTAGAAGTTGAGGACTGGGCTCCCAAGGCGCGTCAACAACTGAGGTTGCAACCACAGTAGATTCCATTGAGGACGGAGCTTGTGCAGGTGGTTGGGGAGGAGCTGAGGCAAGTGCCTCAACGATTTGTGCCACCGTCGCCAGTTGCTCAGTCATGTTAGCGATTTGGCCATGTAAGTTCGACACACTAGCCAGTTGATCAGTCATCTGCGCGAGTTGACCACGTAAGTGCGACACCTCCATCATGATTTGCCCCTGCATGACGGCTTGCCCCAAATGACGGTTATTGTCGGAGATTAGCTTGAAGGGTGATAAGAAGTATGTCCGGAAATTAACATCGTTGAAATCGGCTGGAGGACGTTGGAATCGTCACCAACCTCGGCTTGCATGAGGGCAAACGCATGACCTGCTGTGTCTAGGCCAACCTTCTCGGACATGGATTCGAAACTCTGGAGGTTTTGGCCGGTCAGGGGGTACGCGTATCTTCCTGGGTCAGTTTGATTTTCAATTTGATCGGGGCGACCATCGATATCAGCGGCAGGTCCGTAAGCTCCACCTCGGTTCGAGTGCAATTGAAACGAGCCGCGGTGGTCTGATCGTGTGCCGCTGGTTTGGGTGGTTCTTGCACGAGGTGAAGCGGAGCGATCGCGTTGTTGGCCTCTGTACACACTGGAGGGGCGCCCATCAAGAGCGTCATTCATTCCCGCGCCCCCATGACTGAACGATCGTCGTGCAAAGGTGTCTTCCCGTCCTCGAGGGGCGTCTTCAAATGCAGAACCTGCCAAAGGTAATGTCAGTGATATTGACCTGAGAAAGTCATGTCGGATCTGCAGACCTATAGGATTCATCAAGGCCCCATGATTATTCAACCCAAATAGGGTGGCCCCCGAGGAATGAGGACCGTCACTTGTGCCTTGAGACGCGCCAAAGGGTGCTTCAAAAGGCACGTCGAATATGCTGTCTGGGATACGATTCAATATAACGAAAAAAAACAAGGAGTCCTCCCCCAAAAGGTACAATGAAGGGCACAAACTCACTGAGAGTGAGGTCGCCGTTCATGTCACAAAGTGAGATCCCTGCGAGCGGACTGAAAGGAAAGGGCAGTGGTGAGAGGCCCTTTAATCACTTCGAGTCGCACTCGATTTAACTTACATTGATCCGAGCAAAGGCTTCGCGGGGTGAGTCCCAGTCACTGGGATTCCTTGACTTTTCAAAACGCGCAAAATCCCAGTGACTGGGTAAACCTGAAACAGACCTATCTTCTCCGTGCCATCATGGATTTAGGGCTGTTTCAGGTGCTGAGCGCGGGCATAACAGGTTGCCAATTGCGTCTTCGTAATCCCCGGCCTCGCGTCGCGTCTCCCGATTTGTTGTCGTCACGTTGGTCGAACATGCCACCTGCACGCGTCTTGCCAACCCGCAGATGTATTCCAGGAATCCGGTACGACCCGATTCCCAGCGCAATTGAGCGCGCAAATCGAATATCTGATGATTTCAGTGCTCGTCTGCCTTGGTGCGTTTAGCTGGATTCACCTTCTTTAAATCACGCGTGATCAATTGACCCTCAAATTGATCACTAACAGGAACCCGAGTGGAGAAACCCGACCTGAAAGTGACGCTACCGATCTGGGGGAAAACGCAGTCAATCACCTGTCTGACATTCGAATGGAACACGGAGTCGTCAAGATGGAGGATGGCGAAGATGGGGCGGACCGGGCGAGTACTCACCTTGTCAAGATGGAGCCTGATGAAGATGGGGGGGACCGGTCGAGTACTCAGAGTGATCCTCGCGAGTTATGTACATCAGTAGATGCTTGTCTTAATGAAGGCCAAACTGGTACTGACGAAGGCATTGTGTCACCAGGTTACTCCGATCCGGCACCAGGAATGCCACCAGACATTTGTTATTCGACCCTCAGGCGGCTGATCACAAAGGCGTCCCTGTGGGAATACCTTGCGTTTGCTGGAATGGATGAGGACCAGATGGATGTGGTGATGCCCATCCTGAAGAAACAATACGTTACTAATTGGGACATTTTTATATTCCGAGAATATATAAGCCTCGCTCGTTTGCTTGAGTGGGGGATCCCTTACACCTTTGCTGTTCGACTCGTCATTCACGGCGAAATGTTCTATCATTACATGTTGTTGAAAAACTTGTAAAGTTGCTGGGTGGTTTAGGGTGCAACCGCTGATGAGCCATGTCAATACTATTCGGGTGAAACTCAACTGGTCTCAGTCATGTTTGACTGGCCTGATTTTTGCAATTGATAGTCCCCTGCCAATATCAGCCCGTGAGAGTACATATATACAACACGTCCAAGGTGCACATGGTGAGTAAGACGGGTGAGTAGGAATTTATTACCCCATAACGGAGGCGTTATCAACCGGGCCTGTTTTCCTTCCAGGTCGTGGTTCGTCTCGCCATACCCTGAGCCCCATGTTAATGGCGCGAGTCCAATTCTCCGGGGTGACAGGATGAAATGCACAGTCTGTTGCCTTCCGGTGGCACTCGCTTGAGTACTGGGCGGAGCCATTGATCACGAATGAGTTGTGTTCTACATGCTGGACCGACCAAACCAACACCGATGATGATTTACGCTCTATCATTTTCTCGTGGTTTTTGGCCACCGGGCATTTGGCTTCGTGACAGTTGTGCTGCACATTCAGCAGACATTTAACTTCCTGGGAGATTACAGATTGCGTTCAAGAATATGTCAATTGACGCTGCATCGATGTGATTCGACATGAGCGGTCACTCACCTTGACGGATATGGCGATATCGTCTGCGGTCAGTATCAGCTCGCGCATCCCATAAAATTGAAGTACCCTCCCTTTATCGCACAATCTGAGCACTAGGATGGTTTTCGTGTCTGACATCCCTTCCGGTTTCCAAATGGAAATCACCCGGCCGATTCGCCCGCTGGTCGACAGCTAGAGGCACACGTATGACGCGATGAATCATCAGTGACGCTGTGAGGGTAGGGTATTCTTTAGAGTACTCTAGGCTCACTATGGGAAGGGTAGTTAGGTTCCTTTTATTTAAAATAGTTGTATTTCAAATATAATTTTGTAAATACAATTTGAAATAAAAATGAAAGGAAGAAAGGAAATGAGACTGACAGTCTGTTTGGATAAATCCAGACAGACTACAGTTAAATGACTCCTTAGAAGGAGGTTTTGAAATACAATAATATAAGGCTGGATCCAAGGCCCTCCCTTAATCTTCAAGGTAACAGATCAAAGAGTGATATGTAGGTCACTAGCCTGGTTATTTATAGTCACCAACTGGTAGTTATTGATCAGAAGGTCACTAACCTGTGAGTTGTTGTAGGTCACTAACCTGCAGTTGTTCAAAAGGTCACTAACCTGAGAGTTGATAAAGGTTACTAACCTGCAGTTGTTCAAAAGGTGACTAACCTGGAGTTCTTTGAGAGGTTACTAACCTGAAAAGTTCTACTTGGGGAAAGTAGAGGATCCAAAGGATGAAGAATGAAATTACTTTATCTTTTAGGCAGGAATCTGCTTTAAAGAGATGAAGTGAATCACTAGTCTTATAAGTATAAGACTTTTGATTATGTACTTCAAAGGAACTTTAAAGGTTCTTTAAAAGATATGTGTAATAAAATGCTTGGGGGAAAGTTCTTGAAGGCTGAGAGAGGAGGGGTTTATATACTCTCCTCTCCAAACCTAATTGTAGTGATATTTGATTGTATCATTACTGTGGTTTAGGGTTTGATGATTATTATTAATTATTATTATTATTAGTATTACATAATTACATATATGTGTCATGTAATTTATGTAGTATAAGCATTTTAACTCTTGACACTGAGTTATGAGGTGTAATTGGTGTTTTATTACATGTTACATATGTTTTTAAATGTATATGTATATGTAATTGGTGTTTGTATATGTTTTATTATATGTTACATATGTTTTATAAGCTGTATGTACATGTAATTAGGTTTATAAGTGAAAGTTCTATATTATAAGTTAGTTTTGGGTACATGTATATGTACCCAGGGCTGACAGACGCGACGGCCTAAACATCGACGGGTTAATATAGCTCTCACCAATACAAAATCGTTGCGTTCCACCTTTTGGGACCGAGTCAAATGGATGGATTGATATGCTTTCATTCCTCGAACCTGAGGGGGAGTGGAAAGGACGGCTGGGGTCGCCGGTTGCGGATCTTCCAGGCCTGCAAAGCTATTTTCAGCGTCGCTGAACATGTGACACAACGTGTGTCACGAACTCACGGCCGATGCGAAAGTCATATGTGGCGTCCAGATGACGGTCGAGGCCCATGGCTTGGTATAATTCGGGGACCGAGGTCAACAACTTCCGTAATTGTGCGCCGGGGAAAACACGAGTTTGGAGTTCGCGGTCGTAAAAAGATGACGACGAGATCAACAGTCTCAGCATCAGGCGTGTCAGAAACGTCGTTGCGATGTCCTGGCCTGGACTATGATGATTCGAGTGAGTAGACGCATGCCTAACAACCCCGTTGAATGACTCGAATTTCTCAGTTGCAAAGAGAGAAGCTGGACCAAACCGCCTAATGGAATCTTGAAGGTGGATCAACATATGAATCTTGGGTTTATTGACCCACCGGGCGTTGAGAGACATCAGGTTGTGGAGGAAACGAGAGATATGATTGTCCAACTTGGCAAGGTATGTCGTCATGTTAGGGATGTCCGTCTGGAAAATGTAAGAACTGAGTATACAGAGGGAAGTCCACATTTCCCTCTTCTTTGGGGAAATATGTTCGAACAAAACATAAGGCACGGTCTGCAATACCGTGCGGAATTCCTTTCCAACCATACTTTGATAATAGGTGATAAACACGTTAGGTTGTATTGGTGGGACCTTCAAACCTTTAATGTTGACCGATCGCCAACGACCCGAGATGTCGTTGTACATCTTCGAACCCGGTTTGATATGGCCGATTTCTTTCATTGTATCTCCGAATAAGTACTTTGCGATCCCCAACAGTACCACATGTAAGACCTCTACGGGGGTATCGGTGTGACCGTTGAAGCCTATGAAATGCAACATGTCAGTCAGTGACATTTCCACGCGGTGTCCGCACATGACACTTACCTTTGAGCCTCAAGAAAGGATTGAATAATCGTTCACCGTATTGGGCGTTCAAGTCTTGGCAGACTTGCTCGACTTCGGCGCGCGGTAGTGTCTCGTGAGCGACGTGAACTTGCTTTCCAAAATATTTGTTGAGAGTATCCTTAACCCCGTATTCTCGGTTCAATGCTTCCACGCGCGACTTGTTGTTTCGCATTTGGGCCGTGTCCCAAATGTACCTCGTCGTTTCCCTAGTCACGTGCCAATCACGGCCAGGCAGTAGAGACTGGGTAGGTAGGTCAGCCACATGTTGATCCAGAGAGGTATCAGTTTGACTTACCTTGTGACCATGTTCGTCCAGGCCGATGAAAGCGCGTACAAATCCGTCCGTCTCTTTGTCGGCCATTTTGGACGCTGACAACTGACACATGCGGCAAGGAGTCAGGGTGTTCGCCGGGTTCAGAGTGTTGGTAACTTCCGCATGCATGGGGGAATCCCCCAGGTGGCACAGCGCGACGGGTATGACCAACACGTCTGCTCCAAGGGTCTGGTCAAACGCGGTGAAGCCGCGATCACCGTGTTCACTGGCAAATTGGAAAGCAGTATGAACAGCTTGTAGTAGACAGTGGAAGAACACAAGCGAGACTTACTTTATGTCGTCGACAATCTGGTCAAATAGTTCCAGAGCAGTTGCGCAATTCGAGGTTGCAAGGAAATGCACATTATATTCTTGATTGGATAGCGCCGGTGGTAATCCGGCCAGCGTGAAGTAAACACACATGTGTTTATTCCACTTCTTGGACACATTACCTGACGTGTCATCGGAGTATAAGGTGATGGGGACATGACGTATGACTTTGCCTCCAGCCTTCACACGCCACGGATTAACCACCGGGTGGGATGGTGCAGCCAGATTGCACGGATCTACGGGGCAGGAGGAGGTCAATCAAAGGTGGCCATGTAGCATAAGAATTAATATATGCAAATGATCACCCGACTTACGGTACATGTAGTCTCCGCATAACTCCTTCAGGAAAACACCATCCTTGACCTCAATTTCCGCGACGCCTTTCCAGAACTCTGTGCACTTGATTGTGAACAGGTTTCCACCGTCGAACGACGGCTCCTCGGGAATGACAATCTTCAATTGGCGTGCATGGTGTGGATCCGGGATGACGAGCGCCGGAAGGCACTTAGCCATCAGGCACTCGTCTTGTTGGAAAAAAAAAATAGGAACAACGAGCTGCTGAGTGCGAAGTTGCACCGGTTCATATATGTAATAGTGAACATGGTTCGAGGTAACCATTGGGACTCAGAGTGGTGGAGGTAATAGCTCGTGCCATTTTTTGGACTGTGATAGCCGGTTTATCGGGCCATCGATCGTCAGTTCAGGGACATATACCAGGTGAGGGCTGACCAAAGGGTTGGCCAACTCCTGGAAAGTCATCGTCAGTGGGTTCTGACCGTGTCAGCGTGCAAAGATGCATGATGTTACTCACATTTATGATGATGTTCTTAATATCCAACCCAAATAGTGGGTTCCCGCAAGGGCTGGTCCGTTCGCGAAGGTGTAGCCCTAGATTGTCCTTCAATCGTTTGACCACCGCCCTCAGGGTTCCCCATTCCGGCAGGTACACCCCAACGATTCGCAGTATCGATCGAATTCGGTGGTATTGTGTCCGTGAGAGTAAGTTCCGTGTTGAACCTATCATCAACAACGCTACGACATGCTGCAACGTGGGCAAGGTTAGCATTTTTCGATATTGTGTCACCCATATCGAAAGTACGTTTACCTCTTTTTTTTTGAACGGGTGCCACTCGGCGGCGTCTTGAACTCGGACTCCTGCAATATCTTCTTCTAGGGCTTCCTCGTCCAAGCGAGCATCGTCGTCGTCTAGCTCGTTCTCCAGCGCTTCGATGGCCAACCGCATCCTGTCAAAATCCAATCCTCCTTCCGAGGTGTCCGAATCGGCAGCGTCGTCACCCAAACCAAGGTCAAAAGGGTCCGGCTGATTGAGATCGAGACCACGTAGCAGGGTGAGAGGTGACGGCGGAGGGGAAGGGGGATCCGAATCGTGATCCAAGATGTCATGAGTAAAATGCAATTGGTTGGCGAGGTTGTCCAACCGCGGGGGGTCATTTGCTGGCCTGGCGTTGTCGGATTGGTTTCTGAGGGCACGTTCAGCGTCCTGTTCCTTCAAGAAATCTTGAACTGCGGCGAGATGAGCCGCGGATGAGGCGTGAGGGTATAATGTTCTCATGCTGTGTCCACCTGGGCACACACTGCAACGATATCTAGTCGGCCCTTGTCGTTGCGGATGTGAGGTCATGCCTGGTGATCAATTGGGTCAACAATTCCTTAACGTTGCATGAGTTGATTCTGATTTTTGGTACTGACATTGAGGTAGTGGGGGTGTCATGATCGGTGGTGGTGTTCGTGGTCCTCACGTGGTGAATTGAGATGGGGGACTTGTGCGAAAAAAATAACTTCGGGAGGTGTTTAAACCGGGGCCGTGTCGACCCGGGTTTGCGGAGCTTAGCTTGGTCTCATGGTCGAGCTCGACGGTCTTCCCGTCGAGCTCGACGGCCTGTTGGCTGTGCTAGACGGTCTGTTGGTCATGCGCAGCTGGCCAAGGGCGGCCTGTGAGTTACTGAGCGGCAGGCGGCCCTGCTTCGGTCTTGATTGCGGTCTGCAGCCCTGATCCTGACCAGACCGTTCTCAGATGGGGGTCTAGCCATTTTCTGACACGAAACCCCCCCGTGGTGTAGATAATTTCTTGCAGACTGCATTATGCACGACCAAGGACCCCAAATGGTCAAGAATCTTGAAACTGCTTTACTTCCAGCTCCTATAATTAAATCATCTTCAAAGTTATCTCTACGGACCCACACGAAAAGTCGAGCCAAAGATGTGCTCTTCCTCACCATCAATGCTGGGGTTATCTATGGTTCTTGTTGAAGAAGATGCCAATGATCATCTTCTGATACAGAGCTTTTAATTCCTCCAGGAACTTCTATGTAGCTGAGGCTCATGCATCAAGATATTTTAAAGCTTCAGAAAATTGTTCAAAGGTTGTAATTTGCTAGTGAAAACAGTGGGCAAGATAATTTAAGAGGATCTCACTTTTTGAAATTCCTCAGCATAAGATTCAAAAACCTATGTTGCTTGATGTTAATCAGGTCACAGTAATCAGTGGTAACCCCCCAGCCCCCATATATAACCCAATGCTAGCCAAACATTGAGGGATCTTGTGTACTAGATGGCTAAATGTAAATCCAGATGGAAAATCACATTTAACCAAAAAAAATTAACACAATTTTTTGTCTTGTTTTCAAACTAATCCTTATGCGCTATGCAATGATTAATATTGTTTCTTGCTTTGGAAGTCTCTTGTATGAAGTATTATTTCTATGTAACCTTTTGGATCCTTTTCCTCTGCAACAGGTACCAGGGTACGTTTGATGTGAAGCCTTGATCAATACTTAGAGGTTGCTGTGTGTTGTGTCAGTTTTTTCAGGCATATTATATACTCAGCTGTCAGTAGGACCTTTTGATATTTCTCATCAGCTATCAACTGTAACAATATGTTGACATGATAGTTTGATTCTTTCCTATGTGACACATTGTAGAAACTGATGATCAAGTTCTTTACCTTGGCACGGGCAATGAAGTGGTTCAATAAGTAGTTGCATGTCTTGAAGAGGGAACCCAAGAAGTATATCTAATCCAATTTTGGTCTCATGGGGTGTGGTTTGAAGTTCTGCCTCAGGTTTCAGTAACTAGGACTTAGTTTTCTGCATGTATGTTATAATTGCAAACCTTGGCATCTGATGTGTCTTGCCTATGAATTAAAAAGCTGAAACAGGAACCAAAACCTTTGTGTCTATGTACTCAGCTAAGAAGAGTCTCTAGCTATTATGAGAAGATTGAGATGTCAAAGAACCAATTCACTCCCAAGCTGATCAAGTTCATAAGGAGAGCCAAAGTATGATGTTATGTAAGATGTAATGTGAGATTCAAACAATGATGTAGAGATTAAGGGGTCACTGTTGTGACATGTTTGTTGAGGACATAAGTAACAACTTCAACACAAACATCAAGTCAAATTATGTAAAACAATCCAATCTACAGATCTGTACAGATCATCTGCACAATCTGGATGTCCTCACAAGTGTCACAAGACAATCAATATGTTCAGTCTCTCTGACAATGATCTGAGATGAGCTTCACATAAGGTTGTTTAATTTTTCAGACTCATAAGAGTATGATACCTGATCAAATCCCTTGTGGTAATCAAGAACCCATTCTAAAGACCAAGGGCAAGAGGGCTGTAAGCCTCAACACCAAGCTGACAAGACTCTGCTAGACACCAGCTTGATTCTTGACAGCAACATCAACCTACAAGGACACAGGCTGATTTGTTTCAAACCAAACCACTCTACAGCAATTGAATCACTGGAATGATTGCACAGAAAGACCATGTATTCAAGATCAATCTTAGAAACTGCTTTATGATTTATCTACTGAGCATAGAAAATATAGTCACAGGAATGGCTCTACAAGATAGCTCATTTGAAGCAGACATTGGTGGTAGTAGTACTTCAACTCTTGCTTTTTCTGCCGCAATGGCTCCAATAAAATATGGTGTTTTGGATGTTGCCAAGGATGACCGTATCAACAAAGGTCAATTGCTTTTGAAAAATAACAAAGTGTATGCAAAGGATATTGAGCATATGAAATCACATCAAGACAAAGGAAGAATGTTAGCTCCACCAACACAGTCAGTGTATGCAAAGGACATGAGGTATAGAAAATTACTTCTAGACCAGGAAAGAATGTCAGCTCCACCAACACAATCTTTCAAGAATGACCCTACACCAGCTCCATGCCCTAGCTTGGATGTAGAAGAAGAAAGTTCTGCTGCTTGTTGGAAATCACTGGGGGCTAGCCTGCACTATTGGCTGGTCTGCTTTGACTGCT